TCCCCAAGATCTGGAGAGCCGTAAACGTTGGACCATTGTAATAAAACGCACTAGTGACCGGGCTGAAATGAAGCTGTGGGATCCCGAGAGTAAAGGTTTTCACTTATGCAGCGACCACTTCATATCAGGTACTTAAACCAACGTGTCCTCATCTGTGTATGGTATTTATTTTAAATACTTTTATTACGATTCTTAGTGGGCTTCCTAAACTTATTTTGGCGTGGCTTTTTCTGTCTTATTACTCATAGCAACAAGTAAACATCACGTAAAACGTTGCCTCGTGAGTTCTGCGTGCTGCCGTTTACATGTCTTATGATTACAGCAATTAACCGGCTAAGCTGTATTTAATTTTTAAGCAATGGTTGACCAATTGTCAGATCACACATAAAAAGCACTTTGGATTGCTATTATCTGTCTCACCGAGACGGATCTCAGACAGATCCTGAGACGCTCCTGCCTGACATATTTATTTTATTCACGGAAAAAAAATCAAACTAGTGATTTTTCTTGGCGTTCAGTTTATACATTCAAACAGCACAGCACTCTATTTAAACTACTTACATGTAAATCTATGTTATTTGTCCATCCATTATCATCCGCTTATCTGGAGTCGGGTTGCGGGGGCAGTCGAGTCGAGAGGCCCAGACTTCCCTCTCCCCAGCCACTTGGGCCAGCTCCTCCGGGGGAATCCCAAGGTGTTCCCTGGCCAGGGCCGCTCCGACAGCTTCTGGCGTTTTTAAAAAGTATCCTAGGGGCAGAGTAAGGGTCGGAGATGTTTAGTCTATTTAATTTCTGACTATATAAAACGATTTCTTCTGTTTTAAAGTGTGAAGTAAACTCCGACAAAGTAAAATCCAAGCTGATCCCGTTCATTTTGTTTACACTTATTGCCTGCCAACATGGCGTCTACTCTCTGAGAGTCACGTGACATCCGGAGCTCTATATACAGAGGTCGTTGGCCATTTAATGATTTAAAAGTAAATAAAAGGTCTTTGAAATTGTTGAACAAAGATTTTTGATTTCTCCAGACCTGTTTTGTACTATAAAGGCAGTTCTGAATTACATCTCAATCTGTGTGTTAATGAAACCAGGCTGCAGGGTTCACAAAAAGGTCTGTGTAAAATGTGTGTGCGTGAATTGACTCCTGATCTCCTGATGTCGTAAATAATGAGTGTGTTTCACTAATCTGCTATTCATGGCAAATATATGTTGTAGTTTTAGCCTTTTACTGACTTTTATGGGAGTAGTCCAGGATGTGATAAGAGTTTCAGGGACACTCATGTCAGGAAATTGTTTATGGTTGACTTGAGCAGATCTCTGAGTTGGAGAAGAGGAAGGAGGGGAGTATGCGCCCCCCCCCCCCCCCCCTCCATCTGACTGATGACCCACAAAGAAGAAGGGAGATGATACCAGAAGAACTGTCTGGAAGGAGTCAAGAGGCTGGCAGAGCGCTTCCGAGGCGGGAGTTGTCATGGAGATGAAGAGGGGCCAGAAGGAGGGTGTTGTGAAGCAATAAAAGAGGGGGGCCCAGTTGGTTCGGGAGTTCTTGGGGAGTTGTTGGTTGTTGTTCGGAGTCTGTACCTGTTCAGTGTTTTTGACCTGCTGCGTCAGGAATTTGGAATATTTTTTTACTTCATCATATAAAATAATTTTTTTTTTCCTTCTTATGAGCTTTAAAACGGATCTCCTGCCTGGGGTCTCCTTGTTGTCGCGTAACCGCAGAAAGGTGAGGTTACTTTTAATCCCACTCCAAGAGGTTCATAACACAGTTTAGAGTCATTAACCTGAGCACTACATAAGCTGCAGGTGACTAAGGTGTGTTTAGGTTTGAACAGAGTCTTCCTTTGAGCTGCTAGAAGTGTGTGTGCCAGGATCTAAACCTAGGTTAATGATGATCGCTGATCAGCTCATATTAGTGTGCAGGTCAACTGGATAATCACGCTCACGCATAAATAGAAGTACAAGTCAACCCTGAGACGTAGTGTTTATTAAAGAGTCAGCTAGTTTGGGAAGATGGCTTGTAACAGAAATAGATCCTGTAAGTTACTGAATGCCAATGTAAATATTTTAAGATTGGTGTGATGTGATCATTTCTTTTGGTTCTGGTCTCTTGCTCTCTGTCTCTCTGCTCTGTGTAACGCACAGCATTCAGACCTACAGAGAAAAAACCTACAAGATGCAGAAAAAAAGGATGAACCTCCAACCTTCATATTGTCAGCAATAAACGCAGCAAAACTTAACTTTCATGACCAAAAAAAACCCATAAAAATTATTCAATAAATCAGGAAAGCAGGAACAAGTCTTATTTCTGATTTTACTTTTTTTTTACTTCAATTCAGACTATTTAGACTTTTGTGTTTTCATCACATTTAGCTTGTACTTTATTTAAAATAGCATCAGCTTTACAGGTTAGCTGTTCCTGTGTGCTTAAAAACTTATGTTACTAACCTTCTAAAAAAAGTTCAAATCATTCACATGAAGTAGATTTGTTATTCATTATCTGAAAGTATCTGACTAGTTTAAAAAACTAAATATGTTTTGTTCAATTTGTTTTTCAGAATGTCACTAGGTTTTATACTTTAAAAAATATATATACTGATGTACTGAAATACAGAGAAATCAACTTGTGAGTACAGTGCATGTTAATATAGTAAGTATAGCATGTTTAACATAAGCATATTCACACATGGAAAGTATCAATGTAAATAAATCATATGGCAGTAACTCTGCTGTACTTCATTGTGTAAAAGTAGCCCACGGGCCAAAAAAGGTTGGAGACCCCTGCAATAGATCGTTCAGCCCTAGTGGATGCTTAGATGATTGTTCAAAGTTTTCTTTCAGCGAAATCTTCGTCCACAGAGCTCACAAGCAAAAGGCTTCTGTCCTTTATGGACTCTTTTGTGACCGTTAAAACTGATCTTTTGGGTAAATCTTTTCCACCGAACTCAGAGGCGAAAAGCCAGTGTGAACTCTCATGTGTCTGTTTAAATGTGTCTTTCGGCTAAATCTTTTTATACAGAGCTCACAAGCAAAGGGTTTCTCTCCTGTGTGGCCTCTCATGTGGTTGTTTAAATTTGTCTTTTGGCTAGATCGTTGTCCACAGAGCTCACAAGCAAAAGGCTTCTGTCCAGTGTGGACTGTGATGTGTGTGTTTAAACTTCCCTATTCACTAAATCTATTACCACTGAGCTCACAGGTGAAATGCTTCTCTCCTGTGTGGACTCTCATGTGACTGTTTAAAGTTTTCTTTTGGCTAAATTTCGTTCCACAGAGCTCACAAGCAAAAGGCTTCTGTCCAGTGTGGACTCTCATGTGTTTGTTTAAATTTGTATTTTGGCTAAATCTTTGTCCACAGAGCTCACAAGCAAAAGGCTTCTGTCCAGTGTGGACTCTCATGTGTTTGTTTAAATTTGTCTTTTGGCTAAATCGTTGTCCACAGAGCTCACAAGCAAAAGGCTTCTGTCCAGTGTGGACTGTCATGTGTGTGTTTAAAGCTGTCTTTCGGCTAAATCTTTGTCCACAGAGCTCACAGGCGAAAGGCTTCTCTCCTGTGTGGACTCTCATGTGAATGTTTAAAGCTGTCTTTCGGCTAAATCTTTGTCCACAGAGCTCACAGGCGAAAGGCTTCTCTCCTGTGTGGACTCTAATGTGAATGTTTAAAGCTGTCTTTTGGCTAAATCTTTGTCCACAGAGCTCACAAGCAAAAGGCTTCTGTCCAGTGTGGACTCTCATGTGAATGTTTAAAGTAGTCCTTTGGCTAAATCTTTGTCCACAGAGCTCACAAGCAAAAGGCTTCTGTCCAGTGTGGACTGTCATGTGTGTGTTTAAACTTCCCTTTTCACTAAATCTATTACCACAGAGCTCACAGGCAAAAGGCTTCTCTCCTGTGTGGACTCTCATGTGCTTGTTTAAAGCTGACTTTTCACTAAATCTTTTCCCACAGAGCTGACAGGTGAAAGGCTTCTCTCCTGTGTGGACTCTCATGTGTGTGTTTAAATGTGTCTTTCGGCTAAATCTTTTTACACAGAGCTCACAAGCAAAGGGTTTCTCACCTGTGTGGACTCTCATGTGACTGTTTAAATGTGTCTTGTGGCTAAATTTCGTTCCACAGAGCTCACAAGCAAAGGGTTTCTCACCTGTGTGGGCTCTCATGTGACTGTTTAAATGTGTCTTTTGGCTAAATTTCACTCCACAAAGTTCACAAGCAAAAGGCTTCTGTCCAGTGTGGACTCTCATGTGTCTGTTTAAACTTCCCTTTTCACTAAATCTATTACCACAGAGCTCACAAGCAAAAGGCTTCTGTCCTGTGTGGACTCTCATGTGACTGTTTAAAAGTGTCCTATGACTAAAGAATTTGTTGACAGTCCTAAAATCTGACTCAGAGCACCTGTTCTCATTCCATTCTTTGTCTCGGTCTCCAGTTTCAGACCCAGAGTCTGACAGCTCAGAGTCTAGAGTTGCATCATCATCATCATCATCATCATCATCATCATCTACAATGTCAGTCTCTGAATAATCAGGAGTCTGTTCATGAGGGTACAGATCTGGGTTCCGGCTAGTTTCTAGTCCACCAGTTTCTGCTGTCGTCTGGTCAGCTGAGCTGCTGGTTGAAACATCTCTGTCTTCTATTTGCTTCTGATGAAGCTGTGAGAACAGAGGCTTCTCTTTATCATCCTCACTCTTTATAGAAGCAACAGTGAATGGAAACCTGGTAGCATCAGTCTCCTCCTTCAAATGGAGATGTGCCCCTTCCATACTGGGCCAGAGTTTCTCCATTTCCTCCTTTATGTGGAGAAAATCTAAGTCCTGCTGGTTGACACCAGTGCTATGTTCTTCTAGAGCTTCTTCTTTAACCAGCACCACCTGTTGAAAAGCTGTAGGAAACACAGAAACACATGATGTGAATTACTGACTGCCTTAACTGTGTTTTCAAACATATAACAGGAGCCCTGAACAAACGGCCAAGTAAAAGACGCATAATAACACCTATTATAAAAAGACCTTTGTTCCCTGCACACTGGACCAGGACATGAAAACTCAATGAGCTGCATACTGACTAGAAAGTTTGCCCTTATAGCCTGGTGATATTGTGTGAGAGTGTGTGCGTGCGTGTGTGTGTGTGCGTCTTACATCTGCTGTGAGGACACATTTTTCACCTCTAACATGGGGACATATTAAAATTGTGAGGACATTTGCTACGTTATCACAGTGAATAAAAACCTAATTTGATTTTAGAGGTATGGTGTGAATTAACTTTTAGTTGAGGTTAGAGTTGGGAATACAGCAACAGTAGTTACTTAACCAGATTGGTAATTGAGAGAACTGGGAAATGGCCTGCCATTACCCTGGCCCCCTCAGTGACTGCCGTCAGCCATGACATGCTTCATTTCTAAATGAACAATCCGTCATGTGACTAATCGGGCCTGTATTGGCGCTTTCACATCTGGGCAAGCACGGATTGGACTGTGCGGCATTTGTCCGGGTCCTGCACCAGTAGGTTTTGTTCACACACACTTCTCATGAACGGGGAAATCTCCTAGCTAGTGGGCTGGGCCAAATAAAGCACAGAGAAAGTCAGCGGTGACTCCCGTAAACAATGGCTGTGCAGCTTAAATCTCTTTGTGTGTTTCTGTGTGTGTGTGCTCCTCACAGCAGTGAGGAGCGACGCCGCTTCAGTCAGAGGCGACATTGACTAAACAGTATCCATGATAATGAATTGCGCATGCAAGAAGGTCCCGCTGCTTGGTTCAATCCACCAATCGAAGGCTCCCACTAATGGTAGGCATGTTTTTGAACCGGCCAATCAGTTGGTAATGGGTGTGTTGGACCTGTTCAGCCCAAAGCAGACCTCCTTGGTATGTGGACCGAAAATTAGTGCAGAAAATTACAAGACTACCTAGATATGGACACTTTAAAAACTACCCAGTCTGGTCCATGCTGGCCCAGATGAGAAAGCACCATAAGTGACCATTTTGGAGGAACCAGTTTAAGGTGGTCTTTTAGAGCCATTTGCGTTAACACGAAGTGCACATTGCGCAATGATGAGTATGCAGGGTGGGTTTGAGTGAGTAAGAAGAAACAATGGCTGCCAGGATTTGATAATCTGATCATCATCACCTGACAGCACTTCTTTTTTTTTTGTTTATCAAGAGCACATATAAACTTATATACATTGTATTGTATGCATCTTACATGACATATTTTCTCAAACATTTCTTTTCCAATCTTTTTAACTTTAAGAGAAATTAAAAAAAATCATACCAACAGAAGAACATAATATTGAAGAAACAACGTTAAGAATAGTAAATAAATACATAAATAAATAAACAAAATTGAAAAATAAATTAATAAATACAAGGGGGAAGGGGGGTGCTAAAATCCAATGTCTACCTAAAAAAAAGGAATAAGTGTCAGACTCTTTTCAATATAGTCGCAGGATGGGTAAATTGCTGCGCACTAAGGAAAATATTTGAGATATTCCAGAAAGGGTGTCCACTTGTGGATAAATTTTGCAGAACTACCTTTCACTGTGAGTGAGATCTTCTCCACCTTCAAGAATGTCCGGACAGTGTTAAGCCATTGCAATGCAGATGGAGGCGTGGGAGATTTCCAAAGAAGTAAAATACACCGTCTAGCAAGAAGGGAGCAAAAGGCCAAGATCTCATTTTGCTGGGGAGTTATATTATGAGGCGTCTTTGGAACTCCAAAAATGGCTATTAAAGCGTCCTCTCGGATTTGTATTCCAAAAACCCCTGTAGTGAACCTGATTAGGCTCTTTTAATTATGTAGAGTAATGGTTTATGCTCTTTTATGAAAGAGGAACCATCCTACATATTTTATAGTTTTAAGAAGACTCAAAGGTTGTTTTCATCGATAAACTGTCGATCATATCCGTGGGTCTGTGTTTCAGTTCAATGAAGAGACAAGTTTGAAAGTTAAAAGATTTAATTCTTCAAATTAAACTAATGATTTTGAAAAT